AGTTCAATTATTGAGGATGCAATATTATGAATCGATATAGGCTCCTGAGAAATGCTTATAACTTGCTTATAACTTACAATCAATACTTATTCAATATGATCAACGCGTTTAGGAGTTTCAGTACCCGTTAAACAAACATAGGTACTTTCCCCCTTTTCCAGGGGGGATCTGCATCCTTTTAGCGCATGCGTAGGTGGGCGGAGCCGCGGGAGGCTGTTATATTGACACGACACCCTGCTGGGGTGGAAAATTTATGTAGCAAACGGATTCCGCAAAATATGATTTTTTATGTAAATTTATATTATTTTTAAAAGCTTTTTATTTATTTCCTTAATCACTATTCTACTTTAAGAATGGTCCTATCGTTCTTTAGTATTAATACTCATGCAATAGATCAGTGGCACTACAACCTGTTTAGGTCTTGGCCTCATCATCTGTTTCATGATCATGTGTGAACCTACTAAGCAAGTAGATGATCTGCCTCCTGTGCCTGACATGCTGTCGACGTTTTCGGTCTAAGGCAAGCCGAATTCCTCACGATGGTTTCCTTCATCGTACAGAATATTAAAGGCACATAGAAATAAAGTCCATTGGTGGACGAGATCGAACCTACGACCTCAGGGATGAGAGTCGCACGCTGAAGCCACTAACAATAGAACTACTCATACAATAGAAACCTTATTACTAATCCTATAAAATTAATATAAATTGATAATCTTTGGAAGTCAGACATTTGGTGAAACAGAGATTTTTAAAAAGAATGGTCGCATTTTGTCGTGTTTATTACCGAATTAATTCCTAAACCATTGCCTAAATTATGAATACTTATAAACATTGGCATTCGTGTATTTGAAATATGTATTAAAATGGGCTTATTTCATTAACATTAAGATTGTCGTCGCTTACCTATCCCAAGGTTTAAAATCAGCAGAATCTCCATAATCGCCTCCTAAGACCAACCTAGGAGTTCAGGCAACTCTCGTTCGAATTCTTCGCGATTTTAACGGATTGAACACAGCTTATCCGGAGCTGGATATATTCGGTAGTGGGCTGATCAATTTTAAATATAGCACTGTTAAGTGTCTATGTCATACCTAATGTTAAATACCGCTGTTTTGTTGTAGATATAGTATATATTATGATAAGTGAACTTCAATAAATAAAAAAAATGGGAAACTGCTTGAACTCATTCTTTTTAATTTACGTGTGTGACGCATTACTTAGGTTTAATTAGTCGTAATTATTCAGTCGCGAAATAAAATTTTGTTTAATTTTTTTTAAATAAAATTGATAAATCAACAAGTTAAACCAATCATTCGTTTTTTATTAAGGTTACGGTAATGCCGCTGAATTTAACCATTTAAAGCATAATCCAGTGGCGCTACAACCCTTTTGCCTCAGATTGCACTCTAGTGCATCTGTTTCTTTTGATTGATTTGACTCTTTGCTTGACACAAGTCGAAGATATTTGGTTGGTTTTTGGTAGGTTCCCATTCGATGTTTGCCTTCACTGTGTTAAATGCGCCCATAGATAGAAAAATCCTGTGCACAGTCGTGATTTGAACGGAAGACAGAGAAGAGAGTTACCTACACGCTTAAGTGTCCAACAATTTTCATTTAAATAATCCTGTATTACTCCATGTTTGGTGAAGGTCAATGCAATTGGTGTTGTTTGCAAAACGAATTCCGCTATTAAAAATCCGAACTTGTTTCGTTCCCGCCAAACGCCATTTAATATTCCCGCCATTACGAGCATGCAAAGATCACAGAATCAGTTGTAGGTTGCCTACAGACGAAAATATTTTGATATGTCACAGTTATTCCGTCTAAAGGACTTGTATCCGTGGTCATGTAATTAATTAATAAAAAAATGATATATCAGCTGTCAAATAATTACAGTACCTACTCACAGGAAATACTCATACTCGATTATTTTTCTTGTAAGCGCTACGTAGGTTGTAATAGATTTTGTAAACGCAATGCAATAAACACGCACGCATAGACAACAGAAAGAATATACGAACGAGGAAAATTTACAATCGATGATTGCCACAAAAACTTAGACCACAAGATCGCAATCTTAATATAAAATTATAAATAAAAAGGTTAATATGCACATAAATGGAATGTTTCGATGCGCCGATCTATTAATCCACCTTTTATAATTTATTTTATGTTATCACTTCGTGTATAAACGCCTTATAAAAGCAGGTTATACACGATACCAATTTTATATGATTAAGTAAATTACACACAGCTGCTCACCACGTTATAAGAAGCTATTAAGATAAAATGTTTACTGTATATAATTTGATTATTGTATCTTAAGATAATATGTTGGGGAAAATGGTTACAATTTTGTCTTACTTGTAATTAATGCTCTAAAATCTTGCCTGACGCTGACACTGCTATATATTTATATCTTACTTACTCATAAAATATATGAAAATTATTTTAATTTCAAACAGTAAATATGACACAGCTTAATCTTTAATAAACGAAGCCAGCGAAATATCTGGCTTTACTAAAAGGCTCGCATTCTTGCAATTTACAATGTTAATTTTAAAATAACAACATAAATTATTTCATAATGCCACATTGTGTAAAAACTTTTCCGGCGCATTCCACAGATAACATCCTCTATGGTCTATAGCAACATCGTAGCGCCATCAAAAAACCTGGCAACTTTGAAGAGATAATTATGATTTTTTATATGTTCGACGACCTAACATCGCATGCCGCGAGCAATTTATCGCTAATTCATCCACGATGCGTTATTTTTTTTTAAACTACTAATAACGCAGTAACTAGCCTGTTTGCCTATTTCCGTTGTTTTATATTTTTCTTAATATGGAGCAGTTTGGATTTTAATAGTTTTACGACGTTTAATTGAAGGGCTATTAGCATCAACGAAATTTCTGAAGTCATTCGGAACAGACACGCGAATTTGTAAACGCAAAACTTTAGGCTCGAGATAGACGAAATTACTTATAGGTATGTGTAAAAAAATCTAATTACACCGTTCGTAATTGGCTGTTTCATTTTATCTTAGCGTTAACACTCTATGACAGAAAGAGGCAAAAGACTACCTTAAATACTTAGACTGATTTAATTTATATGAAAAACGAGGATAGTTTCTATATTCTTCTGAAACAGTCAAGTCTTATATATTTTGGTTATTCTTAGCCCTTAGGAGTTTAGAATATTTTGCATATGTATTTGAATTACCAGACATTAAAACCTTCAAACTCTTAAGAAGTAAGTATATTCATCGTTCGAAATCTTATGTTATAAAACCGTTTTAATTGTATTATCTTAGTTATATAAGAAACACTATGCTATGTAAAACAATACCAAATTATGAAATGTTCTAAGCGATTTCTAATATTTAATTCAGGAAATAATAAACCAACAAATGCACATCACGTGCATTTTAATAATTAATATGATTTTACATAAGTATGCCAAATTACCTAACAAGATAATCAGCCAACGCCCAACTTTCAAACAAGTAAATTATTCAGGGCTGCATTGCAACGGATAACTAAAAAACTAATGTAGAAACGAGGTTTCGTTCGCGACCACACCCGTCTGTTGTCTGTGGATCGTCAGCAGAATAAAACAATAGTATATATTTTATAATATCTACAAAAACAAAGATTAATATAGTATCAAAAATGTGCGTTTACTATGTTTCTTTTCGATTCATTCAAATGCTTTTCAAAATTATAAAATTTCAATATTGAGTGACAGACGAACAAAGGATCATATATTCAGATAACATTACATTATATAGTTTTTTAATACTTCTTCTTTTATTTTCCCGTATTAGGATTGCCTAGAAAAATCGCTTGTTAGCGATAAGGCCGCCCGTTGCCGAATAATTTATGTAACCTGTTTTCAATAACGTAACGTTGTGTAAATAAAGAAATTACGTTTTACTGTGAATTGGAGATATTTACCTAAAAATGTTTACATAAATCGACTTGAGCTAAAGCTCCGTGATTAATAGACTGATGAGTTGCAATACAGCGAGGAAATGCTAGCATTAAAGGTACTTTTCCACAAGCACCAAACTTTTTACATTTGTTTTAATTTTCTATTAACCAATTTTTAATTATTATTTAATAATAATATTTATTATACTTATAATATAATAACGTTCAAACGACTTGAAATTAATATTTTTTAATCAAAATGTATTGGCGAACGGTACACGGATGCGAACAACTAGAGCTAATGATCGCGTAATAACGTATTTATTAGTTTCCAACAATTAGACGCAACTCGATACCATTTGTATGCAGTTTTAATTTCTTCAATTAACATAATTAGCGAACACTGTGATAGTCACTTTCTTGATTAATCAGTGAGTTAGAGGCATCTTATAATCTTGTATATTTGGCAGGGGTTTAATACAATTTAATATCGAAGTATCAATCAATGCTGGCCGCATTAAAAATGTAATATGTATATGATATGACATATCGTATCAGTTAAACACAAATTAATTCTCGAAATATTGAGTACCTACATTTGCTTCGATTCCTACTGACACATTTTTAAAAGAATTTCCAGGACATAAATCTTGTCACTTATCTTATTAATTTAGACAAACATTTAAAAAAACATGTGTGTACTTATGCATTAGAAGTTATACGTCTTTGGCGTAACAAGATATTTTTTTATATTTTTCGCCTTATTCTACGTTTGAAGAAAAAACGACACTAACAATAGAAAAAAGGTATTTAATACATTGAAAGTTTTATTATAACGCATTATCTAGATTAATAAAGTTAATTTAAATATCACAAAAAACATTCTACATAATATAAGAACATTTTTTTTAAATGTTGACTATGCTAACTTCGGGTAGTCGGTTTTTGTGACAGTGTGCGGGTGTCGGTTTTTTGTGACGGTGTACGCGCGCATCGTAAAAATTTACTCTTATAATTTTTCCCTTCCCAAAGAAGTATACCATCAAAAATCTTATTCCTCACCTGTGTCTCTGTCAAGCTCAAAGCCTGTGCCAGCTGTTTCCTCTCTGCCCCGACCACATAATGGTTCTTCTCAAATGCATGCTCCAATTTAAGAAGTTGTGAAGGTGAGAAGGCTGTTCTGATTCTCTTCGGTTTTCTGAAGGGCTGCAGGAGGAAACCGGGGATGTCTGGCCCTGAAATGAAATTGTGATCAGAAACAATTCAAAACTTGCTATGTTCGCCAATGTTAATTAAAATAATAAAAAATAAAATAACATAAATATATAGAATAGTTTTTTAAATATTACTGTTATGCACAGAAATATTATATCATACAATCAAATATATTAATATACATTTTCGTTACAGGCTAGACTAAGGGGAACATTTAGAGTTAAGACTTATAAATCTAATTTTTTTTGACCTATGGGACTTACTTAGCCATAAACCTCGACTATACATTATTTTATACATACCTATAATAATACAAATAATATAACCATACCAAATAATAATTAGTGAATAAGGTTAACATACATGTGGGAAACGTTCCGAGTTGGAAGTCAAAGAAGACTTGCTTATAAAATGTAAAACAAATGTAGAAATGTATCAGCGTTACGGATATTGATCGCTTGACAAAGAACATACTAAATATGTAATAATTTTTGTATTTTCATTATTTTAAACTTATGACGCATTTCCATATAGACTTTTCCAGAGGTTGCATTCCCAGCATCATTCGTCGAATATTTAATTAGTTATTTGATTAATTAGTATATTCCGAGTATAAATAGTTTATTTATAAAGAAGTATCATTTAAACTGACGTCAAAATATTAGCTCATCATTACGTTATAAAAAATATCCGTTATTTAGATATTTAGGCTGTTAATAAAAGCCGCACTAAATGTTATATTTATCACATAAACAAAAAATATACAAGAATTAATTGCAATAAACCTTTACAAAACTAATTAGCCGTTTTCAAATGGAATATCATTCATTTTTATAACCAATTATCATGTTCACACAAAGACTTTTGAATTATGAAACCAGTCGATTAAATAAATGTCAGACAGATAATAATTATTTGTGATCGATCATCGTTAGCTTATATACTATTGTTCCTTATAAAGATATGTCGTTTATCCTGGTATTTTTAAGCGGCAAGTACACTTTTTTACTGCAGGGTTACATAAAGAAAACGCATTATAATAATGTCATTACAAGCCTCGCAATGAGAAGTCATAGTTGGCTTCAAGATTTTTGAAGTGAAACTTCTAGGCGCATGAGGGTAAAATTTTTACGGATACGTCACGAAGATGTGCAGCGTTTTTGTCGAAGAAAAGGGAGGGAGTGATTGAAACCGATTGAGAGAGAGCTAGAAGGGCGAATTACCTTATAGAAATTATATTTTTAAAATTAAAATTTCGTAAAGAGAATTTATGAAATATTAGTATTTTATATTTTATGCAAAATAATTTATTGAAATCTCAAATGACGAATTGTAAATTAAAGTGCCACGTGTTTTTATTATCGAAGATATAAATTTAAAAAATTAAATTTATTAATTGTACCTGTTAATTTTCGACAGTTTTAATATTTTAATGACAATTAAATTCATTAAATTCCTAACATATCTTCCTTTTTCCCTCACTCTAAGTCTCGGAAATTTTTAGATTTATATAAATATGAACAAGACTTAAAAATTAGTTTGCTAAAGAGGTTTCAATTCTGACATGTGTACTTTGTCGGCAGTCTTAGTTCGCACAGTTTTGACATACGGCAGTCTTAGTTCGCACTGTTTTGACATACGGCAGTCTTAGTTCGCAACGGTTTTGACATATGTCTAGTTTCTACTTTACACATTTTATACAAATGCACTCTTATAAATATCGAAACAGTTAATGCATGTTATTGAGACACTAATTAAGACGTAGACATAAAAACATCACGATTCAACAAAAACATGCAATTTACCCCACTTTTGAATTAAACATAACTAAAACTGGAGATGCAATTAGACAGACATACAGATTATAAATGCCTCCAACGGGTGGGTCACGCAACGGCTAATGATTCTTTAATTGCGACTTTACATTTCAAGTTCATAAGGGTATCATTATTTTTCACATTATCTATATATAGTACAGATATTATATAGACCCGAATACTTACGATTATATAGATATTTTAAAATATGCTTCGCATTTTGCAATTTTTATCAGGTTATGGAATTATTTAATAGTTAAAAAGAAACTATAAAACATTGCGAACATGGTCAGAACTCATAAGACTTTTCCTTGCGGAAATGTTTATTAAAAATAATCTTTTAAAACCTTGATGCATGTTATAGACCTTATCAACAGATTTATATCCTCTAGATAGACTAATTTACTGTTAAGTCTAAGTATAATATATGTAAAACGTTACTTTTTATTAACTACGTCGTTTTAATGGAATAAATTGTTTAAAAACTTCACAAGTACTCGCGCTGCCTTGTTTTCAGTCAGGCGCGGCGAAGCGTGTGCTCGTATGAAATTAAGGCAAGGCTACAAAGGCATTTTTACCCATTATCGAGCTTACGTAAATTTTATAGAAAAAGCCAGCCAATAAAAAAATCGATTCAATAGTTATTGTTTTAAATTCCAATAAAAACAATATCTTAATATAAAACGGTTTTATATTAAATTAGGTTAGTTTTAAATTACTTATTAGTCTTAAGTTCGGTTACATAGTAATGTTAAATGTCTTTGTGGGGAGAAATTTTATAAAAAATAATGAATTTATATTTTGTCTCTACCATGATTTATGTAAACACGAAACGTCGAATACTTATTAAAATAAAATGTAATGAATTCGTGTTATAAGGTTTCATCAAATGTAATGGCGTAAACCAAATATATTTTGAGAAAATTTGGTTTACGCTTACCTTACGTTGCGTTTGGTTATATAAACATATATTTTATTCTAAGAATAAATAAAAATAATTGTTTTATTTTAAGAATTCTTAAAATAAAATAATTGTTTTAAATGATAAACATTTAAAACACGCAAAGTACTCATTTAGACGTCATGTGTTGTTACATTAAAATTATTTCGCAATTATTTTAGCGTAATTTATACAAAACATCGCTTTATATCGTGTAACTACTTATTTTGTTTGTTTAAATGCAATTGTGTTTTGCGTATTTAGGTACTCACGTTACAATATAGAGTTTTATAGATACTTATTATGAATATAAACACCATCGTTATTAAAATTACGCGTTAAAGTAGGTAACATCGTAAAATACAGTAATCGCTAACGAATCGTAAAAAATAAACAAAATTAGTTTATAGATTGATATTTTTACGAATACACCAAAACATGGAAGAAACGTATTATCCAAGTTATCTAAAAGTATAAGTAAAAGACTAAAACATTATTTAGTCTTATATATTACCGATTGAGTGCATTTTTTTAATTGTCTATGCACAAAGACATCATTTACCATTACACTATCATTAATAATAAGAAAGTGACAACCCTACTTACAGTCTCTATTATGGGGAAGACACTCTGTTCTTGCGTATTATTCGCTTACCAGAGCAATTAGTAGCACAAAAATAATAAATATCAAAACCCGCATTTTTTTCTTATTGATTGAAAATTGTCTTTCATAATAAACAATTTTTACATGCGTTTAACCCCGGTAGCGTTACTTTACCTCCGTATATCTATGGTGTGTGTGAAAAGTCCCAAAACAGTAGAATAATAATTATATTTTCCAGTCTGGTTTAAAATTTGATACTTGTACAAAAAATTGTAGATAAGGAATAGAAGCACGATTTGTGGACGTCAATGAAACTATCTTGATCGTAAAACCGTGAATTTATGTATTCCGTGACACCAGGTCATGCTGATAGCGCACAGACAATGTTCTAATGATGACACCATATTAATTAAAAAAAACAACTTTTGTTTATGGCTGACTCTAGTGTTGTGTCATCGTGAGTAATAAGTATACTACTACGTCTAAGACACTTAATGAAATTAAAATGGACACACTAAAAGCTCACTAATGTTGCTGTAGTGGTTTTTATTTAACTATTTCCAGATAGGGGCTCTTTCGTAAAAAAGGGTCCAACGGCGACCTAAGTCTGTCAGAAGCCTATGACCACCTTAATCAAGATTTTTAAGATATATTTCTTGAGATTGGTTCAAATCGTTTGTATCTATCATGTCAACAGAACATTAACAGTTTATACAAATTGACATACACGTATACGGCACTTTAATGCCCGCCTTCCACTGCGAGCGAAACGGACCCATTACGGACTCCGCTAAACTCATAACGATGATTTTCATACATGTGCTTCCACCAAAGCGGAGACAAGCGCAGCGGAGAGAGCGAGTTGAAAGAGTCACATATGAGGATAGCGAGTTGACCGAGTTTCCCACGGAAATAAAAATGAAAATGTATGAAAATCATCGTTACGAGTACCTATAGCGGAGTCCGTAATGGGTCCGTTCCGCTCGCAGTGGAAAGCGGGCATAAGCCTTAGAGAAAATTAACAGTTTTGTTTGCAATTAGACAAAGATAGTTTTTGTACGTAATTTTACTAACTTATTGTAAACAAGCATATATATAGCACATAGCTACAGTATATACATTACTTACACAATCTGCCAAATTAGTAGGTATCCTGGTATAAATTTGGATAGACGAGGAGCGGTCTATAATTATACCCTCAACAAAAAAGGTACAATTAAAAAATCACACTAAAAACTAAACCCACAAAGATTTAACTCAGTCAATTTCAAAATGAAAGGCAGTAATTAGGAATCGTTTTTTCAAAACGAATTATCTTGTCAAGCTATAAACTGAACAAATATCTCCTTTAATTAGTTTTAAACAGCTCAGACTGAATAATTAATCATAAATTCTCTCATCCTACGTCTCGACCCAAACGTAAATCACTTCATCTAACTACCGATCTTGTTTCAAGATGGCTGAACGCTGCTGCCAACACAACGAACATAAATAGTTTAATTTAAAACGCTTGTTAATCTCGCTCGACCAACAACAAAGTACTCTCAAATTACATCCAATTATAACCCATTCATTTCTTTAAAGAAATATAGTTGAAAAAAACGCATCCGGCAACAATCGGGGTTATTAAAAAGGCGCGTAACGAAAGATGTGACGTAC